GTGTGTCTAATCCAGTGAACTCTGTGTGTCTAATCCAGTGAACTCTGTGTGTCTAATCCAGTGAACTGTGTGTGTCTAATCCAGTGAGCTCTGTGTGTCTAATCCAGTGAGCTCTGTGTGTCTAATCCAGTGAACTGTGTGTGTCTAATCCAGTAACTCTGTGTGTCTAATTGTCCAGCAAACTCTGTGTGTCTAACCCAGTGAACTCTGTGTGTCTAATCCAGTGAACTGTCTGTGTCTAATCCAGTGAACTCTGTGTGTCTAATCCGGTGAACTCTGTGTGTCTAATCCAGTGAACTCTCTGTGTCTAATCCAGTGAGCTCTGTGTCTAATCCAGTGAACTCTGTGTGTCTAATCCAGTGAACTCTGTGTGTCTAATCCAGTGAACTCTGTGTGTCTAATCCAGTGAACTCTGTGTGTCTAATCCAGTGAGCTCTGTGTGTCTAATCCAGTGAACTCTGTGTGTCTAATCCAGTGAACTGTTTGTGTCTAATCCAGTGAACTGTGTGTGTCTAATCCAGCAAACTCTGTGTGTCTAATCCAGTGAACTCTGTGTGTCTTATCCAGTGAACTCTGTGTGTCTAATCAGTGAACTCTGTGTGTCTAATCCAGTGAACTGTTTGTGTCTAATCCAGTGAACTGTTTGTGTCTAATCCAGTGAACTCTCTGTGTGTAATCCAGTGAACTCTGTGTGTGTAATCCAGTGAACTCTGTGTGTCTAATCCAGTGAACTGTTTGTGTATAATCCAGTGAGCTCTGTGTGTCTAATCTAGTGAACTGTGTGTGTCTAATCCAGTGAACTGTGTGTGTCTAATCCAGTGAACTGTGTGTGTCTAATCCAGTGAACTCTGTGTGTCTAATCCAGTGAACTCTGTGTGTCTAATCCAGTGAACTCTGTGTGTCTAATCCAGTGAACTCTGTGTGTCTAATCCAGTGAACTCTGTGTGTCTAATCCAGTGAACTGTTTGTGTCTAATCCAGTGAATTGTTTGTGTCTAATCCAGTGAACTGTTTTTGTCTAATCCAGTGAACTCTGTGTGTCTAATCCAGTGAACTCTTTGTGTGTAATCCAGTGAACTCTGTGTGTCTAATCGAGTGAACAGTTTGTGTCTAATCCAGTGAACTCTGTGTGTGTCTAATCCAGTGAACTCTGTGTGTCTAATCCAGCGAGCTCTGTGTGTCTAATCTAGTGAACTCTATGTGTCTAATCCAGTGAACTGTGTGTGTCTAATTCAGTGAACTCTGTGTGTCTAATCCAGTGAACTCTGTGTGTCTAATCCAGTGAACTCTGTGTGTCTAATCCAGTGAACTCTGTGTGTCTAATCCAGTGAACTGTGTGTGTCTAATCCAGTGAACTGTTTGTGTGTAATCCAGTGAACTCTGTGTGTCTAATCCAGTGAACTCTGTGTGTCTAATCCAGTGAACTGTGTGTGTCTAATCCAGTGAACTCTGTGTGTCTAATCCAGTGAGCTCTGTGTGTCTAATCCAGTGAACTCTGTGTGTCTAATCCAGTGAACTTTGTGTGTCTAATCCAGTGAACTCTGTGTGTCTAATCCAGTGAACTGTGTGTGTCTAATCCAGTGAACTCTGTGTGTCTAATCCAGTGAACCCTGTGTGTCTAATCCAGTGAGCTCTGTGTCTAATCCAGTGAACTGTGTGTGTCTAATCCAGTGAGCTCTGTGTGTCTAATCCAGTGAGCTCTGTGTGTCTAATCCAGTGAACTGTGTGTGTCTAATCCAGTTAACTCTGTGTGTCTAATCCAGCAAACTCTGTGTGTCTAACCCAGTGAACTCTGTGTGTCTAATCCAGTGAACTGTCTGTGTCTAATCCAGTGAACTCTGTGTGTCTAATCCGGTGAACTCTGTGTGTCTAATCCAGTGAACTCTCTGTGTCTAATCCAGTGAGCTCTGTGTCTAATCCAGTGAACTCTGTGTGTCTAATCCAGTGAACTCTGTGTGTCTAATCCAGTGAACTCTGTGTGTCTAATCCAGTGAACTCTGTGTGTCTAATCCAGTGAACTCTGTGTGTCTAATCCAGTGAGCTCTGTGTGTCTAATCCAGTGAACTCTGTGTGTCTAATCCAGTGAACTGTTTGTGTCTAATCCAGTGAACTGTGTGTGTCTAATCCAGCAAACTCTGTGTGTCTAATCCAGTGAACTCTGTGTGTCTTATCCAGTGAACTCTGTGTGTCTAATCAGTGAACTCTGTGTGTCTAATCCAGTGAACTGTTTGTGTCTAATCCAGTGAACTGTTTGTGTCTAATCCAGTGAACTCTGTGTGTGTAATCCAGTGAACTCTGTGTGTGTAATCCAGTGAACTCTGTGTGTCTAATCCAGTGAACTGTTTGTGTATAATCCAGTGAGCTCTGTGTGTCTAATCCAGTGAACTGTTTGTGTCTAATCCAGTGAACTCTGTGTGTGTCTAATCCAGTGAACTCTGTGTGTCTAATCCAGCGAGCTCTGTGTGTCTAATCTAGTGAACTCTGTGTGTCTAATCCAGTGAACTCTGTGTGTCTAATCCAGTGAACTGTTTGTGTCTAATCCAGTGAACTGTGTGTGTCTAATCCAGTGAACTGTGTGTGTCTAATCCAGTGAACTGTTTGTGTCTAATCCAGTGAACTGTGTGTGTCTAATCCAGTGAACTGTGTGTGTCTAATCCAGTGAACTGTGTGTGTCTAATCCAGTGAACTGTGTGTGTCCAATCCAGTGAACTGTGTGTGTCTAATCCAGTGAACTGTTTGTGTCTAATCCAGTGAACTGTTTGTGTCTAATCCAGTGAACTGTTTGTGTCTAATCCAGTGAACTGTTTGTGTCTAATCCAGTGAACTCTGTGTGTGTAATCCAATGAACTCTGTGTGTGTAATCCAGTGAACTCTGTGTGTCTAATCCAGTGAACTGTTTGTGTATAATCCAGTGAGCTCTGTGTGTCTAATCCAGTGAACTGTTTGTGTCTAATCCAGTGAACTCTGTGTGTGTCTAATCCAGTGAACTCTGTGTGTCTAATCCAGTGAACTCTGTGTGTCTAATCCAGCGAGCTCTGTGTGTCTAATCTAGTGAACTCTGTGTGTCTAATCCAGTGAACTCCGTGTGTCTAATCCAGTGAACTCTGTGTGTCTAATCCATTGAACTCTGTGTGTCTAATCCAGTGAACTGTTTGTGTCTAATCCAGTGAACTGTGTGTGTCTAATCCAGTGAACTGTGTGTGTCTAATCCAGTGAACTGTGTGTGTCTAATCCAGCACTCAAAGAAATGATTCAGGTGGTTAGTATTTTGAACTCAAAATACATACTAAACTAAACTCAATAATTGATTTTTGCCAGTTTTACTTAAATTAGTGTGGTCGCAACTCATTTTAAACATGTCGGTCTCAATTAAAAGTTAATACAAGAATCCTAACTCATTTTTGTAACAAATTTGAACTTGATATTCTGGCATAACTGGACAACGGAGAAGTATTGAGTTTGCTCAACATGAAAATCCTCTTGTAAGCCTGGTGGCCCATTAATGAAAAAACAAATATATTGAGTTGATTCAAAATAAATATATTGAGTTGATTCAAAATAAATATATTGTGTTGATTGAAAACAAAATGTGGCGAAGCAGTGACGCTACCCAGAATGCATTGCAGCGAAAAATATAAACTTCTTAAAAATTCTACATTTGAGCATTAATTTTAAAACTGAATATGAAGCAAGTCCTAAAGCAAAATACTTGAGCAACATTCTGAATAAACTAATTTGACCAAATAAGTAATTGTATTTATTTTTATCAACCATGATCGAGAGGGCCAAGCCAAAGCAGTCCTATACTCCCTGTGTCACCCTTCAATTTTGAACAGATACTTTAAGGTGGACATGTTTACCAGTGACTGTGCTGGCCCACTCTCATATATATGTGGAGTGAGACTACTGCCTGAAATTAACAATTGTGAACCGTTTTGTGAATCTAATCTTTGAAAGATGGTATTTGAATAAAGATTACATATTCCTGACTGAAAATCACTTGTTGAATATACTCAAAAAGATTTATTTTCAATGTAATTATTTAAGTTGGTAGTATTGTTAAAATTAAGTTGAGCTGATGCTAAAACACTTGCTGAATATACTTAACAAAGTGTCTTTATAACTCAATTATCCAAGTTGGTGGTATTGAAAAAATTGTGCTGGACCAATGATAAAAGACTTACAAAGAATACTTAAAACACAGTCTTGTTCGCAAAACTTAAAAAGATGCATGCAAAATGCTGCCTCAATTTTATTAAGTTTTGCCAATGAATTTTTTTTAGAGTGAGTGAACTAGACCAGACCAGACCAGACCGCTGTTGTAACCCCCCCCATACTCAGCTGTCAGCAGGAATTGTGCTCCTCTCAATATTTAATCAAATTGAGGCATGAGCGGAAAGACCGTTTCTGTAAAATATAGAATTTTCAGGAATGTAGTGAGTGAGTGGTGGTGTTTGGTCGGAGGCTTTGATGGTCCAGTGTGTTCTGGTCTTGGTTCCATCATCACCCTGTGGAGAGAAGGGAACTCTGAACATATCAAAGCCCGTTTGGACTGTAGCTTGGTCTGTGAAGTGTGCTCCATCCATCCATCCATCTTCTTCCCCTTAATTAATTTCTGGAAGTCAGAGCTGCACCCAGTACACGTAGCACCAGCCCCCATCCCCAGTAAAATGTGCTTTATAACTAAAATCACTTATTTAAATAAAAACAATGCATTTGTTTTATACAGCACTATTTTGGACTCTCAAAATCATCATTAAAAACTACTGTAGCCACAGTTGCCCTGGGGCACACTGAAAGAAGCGAGGCAACCAGTTTGTGCCATTGGCCCCTCCCCCCACCACCAACCATTCACACACACACCAGACTCATTCTAATGTGGGGGAAGTGTCTTGCCTAAGGACACAACCACAGTTTGGCACTTTACAGCCGCCCCACTGTGGCACCTGCTGTCCAGGGGTCTCCCATCAATGTACTAACTAGGCCCTGCCCTGCTTAGCTTCAGAGGATACCTGTAGATATGACCACAAACCATATAATTATTATTGTGGTTAGAAAGTGAGTTTTCTCCAGCCTGACCACCAGAGGCTCCACCAGAGGCTCCACCAGAGGCTCCACCAGAGGCTCCACCAGAGGCTCCACCAGAGGCTCCACCAGAGGCTCCACCATAGGCTCCACCAGAGGCTCCACCAGAGGCTCCACCAGAGGCTCCACCAGAGGCTCCACTAGAGGCTCCACCAGACGCTCAACCAGAGGCTCCACCAGAGGCTCCACCAGAGGCTCCACCAGAGACTCCACCAGAGGCTCCACCAGAGGCTCCACCAGAGGCTCCACCAGAGGCTCCACCAGAGACAACACCAGAGACTCCACCAGAGGCTCCACCAGAGGCTCCACCAGAGACTCCACCAGAGACTCCACCAGAGGCTCCACCAGAGGCTCCACCAGAGACTCCAACAGAGGCTCCACCAGACGCTCCACCAGAGGCTCCACCAGAGACTCCACCAGAGGCTCCATCAGATGCTCCACCAGAGACTCCACCAGAGGCTCCACCAGATGCTCCATCAGAGGTTCCACCAGAGGCTCCACCAGAGGCTCCACCAGAGGCTCCACCAGATGCTCCACCAGAGGCTCCACCAGAGGCTCCACCAGAGGCTCCATCAGAGGCTCCACCAGAGGCTCCACCAGAGGCTCCACCAGAGGCTCCACCAGAGGCTCCACCAGAGGGGCCACCAGAGGCTCCACCAGAGGCTCCACCAGAGACTCCACCAGAGGCTCCACCAGAGGCTCCACCATAGGCTCCACCAGAGGCTCCACCAGAGGCTCCACCAGACGCTCCACCAGAGGCTCCACCAGAGACTCCACCAGAGACTCCACCAGAGGCTCCACCAGAGACTCCACCAGAGGCTCCACCAGACGCTCCACCAGAGGCTCCACCAGAGGCTCCACCAGAGGCTCCACCAGAGGCTCCACCAGAGGCTCCACCAGACGCCACCAGAGGCTCCACCAGAGACTCCACCAGAGGCTCCACCAGAGGCTCCACCAGAGGCTCCACTAGAGGCTCCACCAGACGCTCAACCAGAGGCTCCACCAGAGGCTCCACCAGAGGCTCCACCAGAGGCTCCACCAGAGGCTCCACCAGAGGCTCCACCAGAGACTCCACCAGAGGCTCCACCAGAGGCTCCACCAGAGGCTCCACCAGAGGCTCCACCAGAGGCTCCACCAGAGACTCCACCAGAGACTCCACCAGAGGCTCCACCAGAGGCTCCACCAGAGGCTCCACCAGAGGCTCCACCAGAGACTCCACCAGAGGCTCCACCAGACGCTCCACCAGAGGCTCCACCAGAGGCTCCACCAGAGACTCCACCAGAGGCTCCACCAGATGCTCCATCAGAGGTTCCACCAGAGGCTCCACCAGAGGCTCCACCAGAGGCTCCACCAGATGCTCCACCAGAGGCTCCACCAGAGGCTCCACCAGAGGCTCCACCAGAGGCTCCTACAGAGGCTCCATCAGAGGCTCCACCTGAGGCTCCACCAGAGGCTCCATCAGAGGCTCCATCAGAGGCTCCACCTGAGGCTCCATCAGAGGCTCCACCTGAGGCTCCACCAGAGGCTGAACAGAAGGGTCTGGGATCGATGCCAAAGCAAACTCCTTCAGGAGATCAAAAAATAATTGACCAATCAGGATCGCCGGTGTTTCGTTGGGTTTGCACCGCCTTCTCAAGCGTGTCTCACAGCAGCAGTGAGTGGTGGTTCCCTGTTGATGGTTCCCTGTTGATAGTTCCATGTTGATGGTTCCATTTTGATAGTTCCATGTTGATGGAACTGTGTCTCTCTCCTGTCTCTCTCCTGTGTCTCTCTCCTGTGTCTCTCTCCTGGTTCTCTCTCCTGTGTCTCTCTCCTGTGTCTCTCTCCTGTGTCTCTCTCCTGTGTCTCTCTCCTGGTTCTCTCTCCTGCTTCTCTCTCTGGAGTCTCCTGTGTCTCTCTCCTGTCTCTCTCCTGGTTCTTTCTCCTGGTTCTCTCTCCTGTGTCTCCTGTGTCTCTCTCCTGTGTCTCTCTCCTGGTTCTCTCTCCTGGTTCTCTCTCTGGAGTCTCTCTCCTGTGTGTCTCTCCTGTCTCTCTCCTGGTTCTCTCTCCTGGTTCTCTCTCCTGGTTCTCTCTCCTGGTTCTCTCTCCTGTGTCTGTCTCCTGTGTCTCTCTCCTGGTTTTCTCTCCTGGTTCTCTCTCCTGTGTCTCTCTCCTGGTTCTCTCTCCTGTGTCTCTCTCCTGTGTCTCTCTCCTGTGTCTCTCTCCTGTGTCTCTCTCAGGTCTCTCTCTCCTGTGTCTCTCTCCTGGTTCTCTCTCCTGGTTCTCTCTCCTGTGTCTCCTGTGTCTCTCTCCTGTGTCTCTCTCCTGGTTCTCTCTCCTGGTTCTCTCTCTGGAGTCTCTCTCCTGTGTGTCTCTCCTGTCTCTCTCCTGGTTCTCTCTCCTGGTTCTCTCTCCTGGTTCTCTCTCCTGGTTCTCTCTCCTGTGTCTGTCTCCTGTGTCTCTCTCCTGGTTTTCTCTCCTGGTTCTCTCTCCTGTGTCTCTCTCCTGGTTCTCTCTCCTGTGTCTCTCTCCTGTGTCTCTCTCCTGTGTCTCTCTCCTGTGTCTCTCTCAGGTCTCTCTCTCCTGTGTCTCTCTCCTGGTTCTCTCTCCTGGTTCTCTCTCCTGTGTCTCTCTCCTGGTTCTCTCTCCTGTGTCTCTCTCCTGTGTCTCTCTCCTGGTTCTCTCTCCTGGTTCTCTCTCCTGTGTCTCTCTCCTGTGTCTCTCTCCTGGTTCTCTCTCCTGTGTCTCTCTCCTGGTTCTCTCTCCTGGTTCTCTCTCCTGTGTCTCTCTCCTGTGTCTCTCTCCTGGTTCTCTCTCCTGGTTCTCTCTCCTGTGTCTCTCTCCTGTGTCTCTCTCCTGGTTCTCTCTCCTGTGTCTCTCTCCTGGTTCTCTCTCCTGGTTCTCTCTCCTGGTTCTCTCTCCTGTGTCTCTCTCCTGGTTTTCTCTCCTGTGTCTCTCTCCTGGTTCTCTCTCCTGTGTCTCTCTCCTGGTTCTCTCTCCTGGTTCTCTCTCCTGGTTCTCTCTCCTGTGTCTCTCTCCTGATTTTCTCTCCTGTGTCTCTCTCCTGGTTCTCTCTCCTGTGTCTCTCTCCTGGTTCTCTCTCCCGTGTCTCTCTCCTGTGTCTCTCTCCTGTGTCTCTCTCCTGTGTCTCTCTCCTGGTTTTCTCTCCTGTGTCTCTCTCCTGGTTCTCTCTCCTGGTTCTCTCTCCTGTGTCTCTCTCCTGTGTCTCTCTCCTGGTTCTCTCTCCTGGTTCTCTCTCCTCTGCTCTGGGAGTTGGTGGACTGTCTTTGATCTCGGTTCGTTAGCTCTTCCTCAGAGAAAACCAGAGCAGGTCTGAACCCAATCGATCGACTTTTAATTGAACCAAGCTCTAGTTGTTCAATCAGCTGAGGTTATTTAAAGAAACAGTACTCTGCATTAGCTTTAGCTTTAACGTTAGCATTAGCATTCAACTGAGGGACTGTATCTTTCGTCTTTACCCATGTGCTATACCTATGTGGGTGGCTGAGTGGTTAGCCCTCTTGGTTCATAGCAAGAAGGTCCTGGGTTTAAATCCCGCTCGAAACAGGGTCTTTCTGTGAGCAGAATTGTAAAGTGCTTTGTACCTTGGTCTGTAAAAATGTAACAAAATAAAGAATATTTATATTTAATAACACTTTCATTTGGGCACCAACGAATCACAATGAATATAATTTGTATGATGTGACTTTATTCATTAATTGATTTAATTACATGAGCCTTAATTATGTCATTAGCTATGAGTCCGATTCTCATCAGTGGAATCTGAAAGGGCGACTTCTTTTACAAAGTTATTGATAAACTAAGTCAGTGTTTGTCAGTTTTTCTGCAAATGGAGACACTTTACGAGGGGCAACAGTAGCTCAGTTGGTAGAGCAATGGCCTTCAGGCCTTAAGGTTGTGGGTTCAATTCCCACCTCCACACCTTCTCCACCGACTCCCACTGATGACTGCTGTCATTGTGTCCTTGGGCAAGACACTTAACCCCGCTTTGCCCAAAGCCCCCACTGAAAGATCAAGCCTATGCTCACACTCAGAGAGCAGCCTCCTGTGGACTCACCACCTGCAGAGGGTCAGTGAGGGGCTGGTGCTATGAGACTTGGGTGGCATCTCTGACTGCCACCCCCCTGACCCAGAAATGGATTAAAGGGTAGAAAATGGATGGATGGATGGATGAGACACTTTACTGCATGTGAGGATCATCTCCCTTTCCTACTTTAACTTATCATTGACTTCAGCTGTGGTCTGTTCATTGCTATTCACCCACTGTCCCATGGTCTGTTTCATGGTGCAATGATGGGACCCTGACCCTAGCAGCAGCAGCAGCAGTAACAGCAGCAGCAGCAGCAGTAGCAGCAGCAGTAGTAGCAGCAGCAGCAGCAGTAGCAGCAGCAGCAGTAGCAGCAGCAGCAGCAGCAGCAGCAGCAGCAGCAGCAGTAGCAGTAGTAGCAGCAGCAGCAGCAGCAGCAGCAGTAGATTGTCATAGTGAAATAGCATCTCTCCTCCTCCCCTCTCTGAAAGTCACACTCTCACTGCAGCTCCACCTTCTCCCTCCTCTGTCTCTCCATCTTTCCACCGGTTCCACCATCGCTGAAGCCATCGCTGAAGCCGGATCCACCCTGCTCTGTATACACACACACAGACACACACAGACGCACACAGATGCACACGCACGCACACATGACTGTCTGCGTGATCTCTGCATGTGCGCCCGGCAGCTGAAGTACTCCGGACTTTGGATACCAATCCTCTCCCTGCTCTCGGCATCTCTGAGGAATCTTCTGCTCGTCTGGGATCTTGGATTAATGAGCGAGTCGCCGTGGACTGGAAACGGACAGTTTTCCGGATTCTCTTCCCCCTTCTCCTCCCTCTCTCTCCTCCGGATCCTCTGGTAAGAAGGACATTCTCCTCTTGCATCTTGATTGCTACTTGCCACAGTCCTGTCCTTGCATGTTGAGCCCTGCTGCATCAGTAACTTCAGCACTGGACAGCTCCGCTCTGGGAGACGAGGAGACGGGATTTATGTTTTCTGAGTGTTTGAGTCGACATTGCTTCTGTTTGGTTGGAGTCCTGTGGGAGTGACGGCGTTATTCTCGGCTGTATTGATCCGCAGTTATTTTAAGCCCTAATCCTTGGAGACCACTTTGCATTGGAGGAAACCTGGTGTCGGAGCGTGTCTATATGTTTGAACGCTTTGCCTTAAGGAGCGCTGTGGTTGGCTGAGGGCAGTGCCGCGGTGTGTTTGCTCTGCACAGAAAGTCAAGATGATTCTGAGGTGGTTTAGCTGCTGCTGTAAGGAGAGTTGGTTGCAGAAATTACAGTTATAAAAAACAACTTTACATACTATATTACCCATTATTTATATATGTATGTATTTATTTCAGGTGAACACAGCAGCATGACAGCTGCTATTATCACAAACTTATAACACACATCTAAAAACAATTTTGCCTGAAAGGGAGTGGGAAAAAGATAATTTATTTAATCCCACCCATTTTCCATTTAAACATTAGCTTCTCTGCTTCTGCAAACTTCAAAATGTATGAATAAAAATACCCAGAGAGCAAGAAATGTTGGTGTTAAATCAAGTACTTTTTGACTTTCTGAAAACATGATTTGTCGATGGAAGTTATTTCACAGCCAGAGTTATCTTCTTCTGAGTGAGTATCCCAGATGTTCACAAACAGATGTTAAAAAGGCACATTATTAAAGGGCCCTAATCTGTCATCATTAAAGGGCCCTAATCTGTCATCATTAAAGGGCCTTAATCTGTCATCATTAAAGGGCCCTAATCTGTCATCATTAAAGGGCCCTAATCTGTCATCATTAAAGGGCCCTAATCTGTCATCATTAAAGAGCCCTAATCTGTCATCATTAAAGGGCCCTAATCTGTCATCATTAAAGGGCCCTAATCTGTCATCATTAAAGGGCCATAATCTGTCATAATTAAAGGGCCCTAATTGGTGGCTGAGTGGATAGCACTCTCGCCTCTCAGCAAGAAGGTCCTGGGTTCGAATCCCGGTCGGACCAGGGCCTTTCTGAGTGGAGTTTGCATGTTCTCCCCGTGTCTGCGTAGGTTTCCTCCGGGTACTCCGGTTTCCCCTACCACTAAAAATATGTCCAATAGTTCTTGCATGCGCCTCCTGTACTGGCCCCTCCCATCTCTGTGTGGAGTGAGAGACAAATGCCCAAATTTAACAATTGTAAACCGCTTTGAGACTCAGATCTGCAGTGAAAAGGCGGTATATAAATAAAAACTTACTTACTAATCTGTCATCATTAAAGGGCCATAATCTGTCATCATTAAGGGGCCCTAATCTGTCATCATTAAAGGGCCCTAATCTGTCATCATTAAAGGGCCCTAATCTGTCATCATTAAAGGGCCCTAATCTGTCATCATTAAAGGGTCCTAATCTGTCATCATTAAAGGGCCCTAATCTGTCATCATTAAAGGGCCCTAATCTGTCATCATTAAAGGGCCCTAATCTGTCATCATTAAAGGGCCCTAATCTGTCATCATTAAAGGGCCCTAATCTGTCATCATTAAAGGGCCCTAATCTGTCATCATTAAAGGGCCCTAATCTGTCATAATAATAAATTGCTCTTTTCCAATCCTTCTTTAACTGATAACAGTAGTTCAGAGATATTTGAATTTCTTGTTATTGTTTTCATTTCGATGTCCCGCCCTCCACCGTTTCACCAATCAGAAAGTCTGTGATCCGGGCGCCAGAACTCACCGCGTGGAGCTAATCTCACTGGTAAAGTACCATGTGGAGCTAATCTCACTGGTAAAGTACCATGTTGCGCAGAACTAAAAAAGGTCTCGTTATGATTCTCAAATCATTAACGACAAAACAAGGAATAAAAGCAGGATTTCTATCTTTGTGAAAAAGGTGTTGGTTATAGATTTGTTGTTGACAAAACTCTTGTCTATTCAGCTGTTATGGTCCCAGCTGGATTCGTCTGCATATCTGGCAACCTGAGTCAGGGACAGTGGGAGAGGCTGCAGTACCACTTTTGGCCACACTTTTGCAGACTCAAAAGGTCTGAATGTAGAGAGTGATGGTGTTTGGTCGGAGGCTTTGATGGTCCAGTGTGTTCTGGTCTCTCTGTCGTCACCGTGTGGAGAGAATGGAACCATATCTGAACTTTGTAAAGTGCTTTGTGTCTGGACCTTGGATTGCTTGATGAAGGCATAACGTCGAAACGTCGCAATTTAAATAAATCATTTTTAATTTGCAGGTAAGACGTGTGCGGGATTCTTCTCTCTTGGACCTTGGTCTGTAAAAATGCGCTTTATAAACGTACTACTTACAAACTACTTTATGTCACATATCTAACCACTGAGACATGTTTAAGTAAATAAGAAGTGATTGTGTGTCTGTTGTTTGTGTGTCATTGTGAAGTAAAACAGCGGTGATGAAAATGGTTTATTTTTCTGAATGTGTTTTTGTGGCGAGTCTCTAGTCTGTTTCTTTCTTTCAAATCCCAGTGAGCTGCAGAGTCTTTGCTTCTTCTTCTCTGATGAGAACGCAGAGACCCACTAATGACCACAGAGGACCGGGCTCTGGCTCCGGGGCGGCTGCTGCTGCTGCGGCTGCTGCTGCTGCTGCGGCTGCTGCTGCTGCGGCTGCTGCTGCTGCTGCTGCTGCAACTGCGGCTGCTGCTGCTGCTGCTGCTGCTGCTGCTGCTGCGGCTGCGGCTGCGGCTGCGGCGGCTGCAGATATTGTCCCACTCTGATGCTGCTGTGACTCATTCAATATTTATTTCTGTTCAAGACGAGCCTCATGTCAAAGTAGTAACGACAGAAGCTAAAGTTATGTTTGTGGGACTGAAAACTATGGAAACTATGGAAATAAAAACACATCAATCACAGAATGAGGGGATTGTTGCAACACAGACCTGTTATGCAAATGTGACTTTTTCTTTGGTTTTCTTTACTTTTGAATGTTCTGGAAACAGCAGCAAGTGTTCATGGTTTTACACTGGTCCAGACCAGAGCAGAGAGGATTCATGGTTTTACACTGGTCCAGACCAGAGCAGAGAGGATTCATGGTTTTACACTGGTCCAGACCAGAGCAGAGAGGATTCATGGTTTTACACTGGTCCAGACCAGAGCAGAGAGGATTCATGGTTTTACACTGGTCCAGACCAGAGCAGAGAGGATTCATGGTTTTACACTGGTCCAGACCAGAGCAGAGAGGATTCATGGTTTTAACCATTTGAACCATGTGGATCAGGAGAAAATCTATTGTAGGAATGCTAACTTCTTGAAAAATGCTAATGAAGCTTTTTACTTTGGACCAGAGCGGAGAATATGGTCGAACGGTCTGATCCGGGCGCCAGAACTCACCGCGTGGAGCTAATCTCACTGGTAAAGTACCATGTGGCGTAGAACAAAAAAAGGACTAGTTTTCTCAAATCATTAACGACAAAACAAGGAATAAAAGCAGGATTTCTATCTTTGTGAAAAAGGTGTTGGTTATAGATTTGTTGTTGACAAAACTCTTGTCTATTCAGCTGTTATGGTCCCAGCTGGATTCGTCTGCATATCTGGCAACCTGAGTCAGGGAGAGTGGGAGAGGCTGCAGTACCATTTCTGTCCACACGTTTACACACTGCTGCTTTAACTAATTATTGTTCTATTGTAAAGTCTACAGTTGTCTTTTGCCTCTGGGATGACAGTTTGAGACTAGCTGTAGCTAAAACTGTATTAATGTGAACTGTTCCTGTTCAAATAAACTAATTATATCAAAATAAAACTTTTCTACCTGGACTCATTAAACTCTTACAGCTCAGTGGGAAAGACACAGTAGAACAAAAGCCCAAACAGGGTCTTCCTTTTATGGAGGACCAAAAATGACTAAAGTATAAATAAATAAATAAATACAGGAATATATTAAAGAAGCTATACCCGATTTTTTTTCTAAGTAGTTCATAAAAATGCTTTTTACTACATACAAGTTGTATCATAATACATCATTTAATTGAAAACTTGAGGTCATTGATTCAGCTGTGTAAGAATTACAAGCAGTGAAAAGTGCTGAGTAGAGTCTGAGCGGGCCGCTCTTTCTCCTCCGCTCACAGAACGAGCAGCGAACAGCCTGCGTCCTCTAGTCTCTACAGCCTGTGTCCTCTAGTCTCTACAGCCTGTGTCCTCTAGTCTCTACAGCCTGTGTCCTCTAGCTTCTACAGCCTGTGTCCTCTAGTCTCTACAGCCTGTGTCCTCTAGCCTCTACAGCCTGTGTCCTCTAGTCTCTACAGCCTGTGTCCTCTAGTCTCTACAGCCTGTGTCCTCTAGTCTCTACAGCCTGTGTCCTCTAGTCTCTACAGCCTGTGTCCTCTAGCTTCTACAGCCTGTGTCCTCTAGTCTCTACAGCCTGTGTCCTCTAGCCTCTACAGCCTGTGTCCTCTAGTCTCTACAGCCTGTGTCCTCTAGTCTCTACAGCCTGTGTCCTCTAGTCTCTACAGCCTGCGTCCTCTAGTCTCTACAGCCTGTGTCCTCTAGTCTCTACAGCCTGTGTCCTCTAGTCTCTACAGCCTGTGTCCTCTAGTCTCTACAGCCTGTGTCCTCTAGTCTCTACAGCCTGTGTCCTCTAGTCTCTACAGCCTGCGTCCTCTAGTCTCTACAGCCTGTGTCCTCTAGTCTCTACAGCCTGTGTCCTCTAGTCTCTACAGCCTGTGTCCTCTAGTCTCTACAGCCTGTGTCCTCTAGTCTCTACAGCCTGTGTCCTCTAGTCTCTACAGCCTGTGTCCTCTAGTCTCTACAGCCTGTGTCCTCTAGTCTCTACAGCCTGCGTCCTCTAGTCTCTACAGCCTGCGTCCTCTAGCCTCTACAGCCTGTGTCCTCTAGTCTCTACAGCCTGTGTCCTCTAGCCTCTACAGCCTGTGTCCTCTAGTCTCTACAGCCTGTGTCCTCTAGTCTCTACAGCCTGCGTCCTCTAGTCTCTACAGCCTGTGTCCTCTAGTCTCTACAGCCTGCGTCCTCTAGTCTCTACAGCCTGTGTCCTCTAGTCTCTACAGCCTGCGTCCTCTAGTCTCTACAGCCTGCGTCCTCTAGCCCCTACAGCGCTGCTTAACACCAGGGCTTCGACTTCAAAATTCGAATATAAATTCTAAAATAAAAAATGATGAACAAAATAATTGAACAAAAAAATGTGAACAAATATTAGACAACCCTTGTAATTCGAAATGTATTTAATGACTGCAAATAAAATAGTTAGCTCCCAAAGGTTTCACCGGGACGTGCTAGGCAGGTAACAGCTAAGCTAGCTAGTTGTTTCATGGTAACTTCCGGGTTTTTCGCAATCGCTTTTTGTCACTTTGAAACAGTATTTTTGTTATGAAAACGTTAACAGCAAATTCTGAAATCATCCGTGCATGTGTGTTAAGGATGTATATGTGTACTGTATTGTCCGATTCACGTTTAATGGTGTTGATTGATAGATATGTAGTTGTTTATTGAGCGTGGCTAGCTCCGATAGCTCCGTTGGCTTCTCTACACAGACGAGTGATAGTGACAGGTGCTGATAGCTTGTTGTATTTGCAGAGTAATGGCAGTATTTTACACACCTGAATTACAAACAGAGGTTGCATTGGGGCTTCGGTCATTATTGGTTTGAGAGTTCTGTTATCAAGAAAAAATTATCGGAAGAATTGCTGCTGCTGCTTTGAGGAGCTCTATAACAAATTATAATTCAATATTAGAATATATTCTAAGGTTTTAAATTAATACATTCGGACGCAAAACTAGCGGTATTCTTTTACTTATATATTGTGTTAGCAGTGCGTTGCTTTAGTGCCATTTCATCGGTGATTGTTGCACAGTTTACAAGAAGTTGCGCTAATGCTAATGTTAGCATATTTATCAGATCGCAAATAAAACTAGGTGGCTCCGTGGGATGAGAGCGTAGGGGAAATGAGAAGCCATTGAGCGAGTTGGGGGGCGGTGCTAAACATTCAAACATTGCAGAAACGGGTATAGCGCCTTTAATAAATACTAGGGCTGTCCAAAATAGCGCGTTATTAACGCGTTAACGCAAATCAATATTAACGCCGTCATTTTTTTTATCGCGCGATAAAAAAAAATAATTTTTTTTTTTTTTTTTTTTTTTTTTTTTTACTTTTTATGGCAGACAAACACATATACAGAAAAAAAATAGAAACAAAGAAAAGGACTAGTTCAGATACATTGTAGACAGAGATTACAAACAATATGTAGTTGGAGATACAGGGGGCCAAAGAAGAAACCCAGAAGGGCACATAGGAGGGGGGGGACATGAAGTGGGAGATGGGGGAGGGGTTAATAAAAAAGGCAATACAAGCAAACAGTATACAGTCATAGATATACCGAAGGTAAACAGAGAAACAGCATAGAGTATTCACATGAACAAATTTACAAAATATTTACAGATTGTTTATCATCACCATGATGTTTCTATACAGTCTATGGTCTATACCCACACATACACACACACACCCACACACACACATTGAAGGGGCTTTTTGTTACCAATTATTTATTTTGTCATCCATTTATTGATGATTTTGCATCAAATGTTAGTGTGTAATATAACACTACACATTGTTTTCAATAAAAAAGCAATTGCACACAGCACGCAAATGTGTGACTAATTTGCGATTAATCGCGAGTTAACTATGAAATTCATGCGATTAATCGCGATTAAATATTTTAATCGTTGGACAGCACTAATAAATACATTCATTTTGGACAATAAAAACTAAATATTTACATTGATATGCTAAATATTACTCTGAAATCAAATAAATATACTTTTATTTAGATTATTTATCAATATCTACATTTTTTCCTTTATTTATGTATCCATTTATTGCATATATTTATTTATGTATTTCTACATTTCTTCATTTATTTATTTATGTATTTCTACATTTCTTCATTTATTTATTTATGTATTTCTGTGTTCCTGTATGCTAATTAGGTGGGCGGTGCTGAACTCAATCTAGAACAGGATTGGTTAGGATTGCGTGAACTCTGGTCTCGATCATTACTGCCTCACATTACGGTACTCTGTTAGCTAGCTAGAGATCCTCCGTGCACTTTTGTGTGGTATGATGGCAGTTTCGAATGTACGTTTTTTAGGAGCCATTGCTCATCAATTAAGAGCATTAGCAAATGATGTTAATGATGTTGAGCATAATGCACCTGAGGACTATCTACTCTTTCGGCTGGAAAGACTATTAAGCCTAGCGTACATCGACAGAGAAACTGGGGACAACTAGTTGCAAGGCGGCTTTTGGCAACTGAGAGGAGATGGTGGGAGATGATCAGTTGCCGAAATCGGTCGATGTGCGCGCTCTTACAACTGGAGATGATCAGTCGGTCTCCAGTTCCAGTCAGTTGCCCGTGTTCTACTTTTCGGCAACTAGTTGTCCTCAGTTGACCCGATGTGCGCGCTCCATGCGCCGCTCCAACAACGTGTGTGTATTGCGTGTGTTGCGAGCCCGCAACAGTTTGTTGTCAGAAAACACACTGTAGTTGAGGCCAGTTGCTGTCGATGTACGCGCTGTTATTCAAGAGACTGGCCTGCGACTCAGAGTTGCCCGTTTTCGCCAGATTGTCGATGTGTGCGGGGCAGCAACTCAGAGGCGACGGATATAATCAGTTGCCAGTCCGATGTACGCTAGGCTTTAAATGTTTTAGTTCATCACATGCTGACCCAGAGGAAGACTTTGATGCAACTGTGCTGGACGCTCTTCAACAAGCAGCAGCTTCACATCCTCTCACAAACCGAGAAGGCTAACTTTGCTTCTGTCTGGTTGCCCTGGCTGACCTACTGCCCACCAATCCTGCTATTGATTGAGTTCAGCAGCGCCCGCCTAATTAGCATACAGGAACACAGAAATACATAAATAAATAAATGAAGAAATGTAGAAATACATAAATAAATAAATGAAGAAATGTAGAAATACATAAATAAATAAATGAAGAAATGTAGCGACACAGAAATACATAAATAAATAAATGAAGAAATGTAGAAATACATAAATAAATATATGCAATAAATGGATAAATAAATAAAGGAAAAAATGTAGATATTGATAAATAACCTAAATAAAAGTATATTTATTTGATTTCATAGTAATATTTAACACATCAATGTAAATATTTAGTTTTTATTGTCCAAAATGAATGTATTTATTAATATATTCCTGTATTTATTTATTTATTTATACTTTAGTCATTTTTGGTCCTCCATATCCTTTTACCTCGGGACACACGACGCCGACTGCTGAGGCACATATTTCCTGTCGGACACGTCAATATTTATCACATTGTCAATTTCACCAAAAGAAATGATAACACTGCATGATGGGAAAATAATGGCAGTTAAAGTGAATTATCCCGGCGGCTGGTAGACAGGCCTCGCTCACATTTATGGTTCTTCCAGCACTTAGCCCGAGTGAGGGATCTGAGGGAGATGAAAGTGTAGGTGCGGAGGCAGTGGATCAGGTTGTAAAACGTAAGATAATACTGTGAAAGGATCAGGAGCAGAGCATTTCCTTAAGACATTTAGCACAGAGCACAGAGTCACTGCTCACAGGAGGACGCAACAAGCATAGAAACCTGATTTATTTTCTAATGAGTTCATTAAAATGCATATTTCTACAGCTTTTTAGGCAAAGTGCTGAGGTGACACTTTGCTAGTTCTTATCCACTTGCACAATGAGGGGCGGTGCTAATGCAAACAGGCCACGCCTCCTCTAGCGTCTGCAGGTAAACAGAACTACACGGCAGCTGAAGGAGGATCAACGCAGGAAGTGGCTAAACCTCCTCTGGCTGTAACTGCAGACACAGCAAACCAGCCCAAAAGACGCAACTGTGAGAAGAAGAGGGAACTAAACGTGATCAAAGGATAAATCAAGCCCGGGTGAACATATCTAGCTTACATCGTATCCTCGCCGGAGAGACCTGCGAAACTAGCAGTAATCTTTCAGTTATATATTGTGTTAGCAGTGCGTTGCTTTTGTATCATTTCATCAGTGATTGTTCTACAGCTTACAAGAAGTTGCAATAATGCTAATGTTAGCATATGTATCAGATCGCAAATAAAACTAAATGCTCCGTGGGAGGAGAGCGTAGGGGAAATGAGAAGCCTGTGAGCGAGTTGTATCACCTTACAGAATCAGGTTTAGCTCATATTCTCTGATGCTACCATGGTGTGGTAAGACCAGGCTAGTACGTCCCCCATGGTCCGACCGTTCCAGTCTCACACATTAGTGAAGGACGACAAAGAAAACACAGCCAGCGTTTATGTGTGATATAACTCCAACATTACAGTTACAGTCTGTGGTGTGGATCAGACACAGACACAACTGAAGCCGCAGCTGCCCCGGTGCCTGCCACTCACTCCGGTGCCTGCCGCAGCTGCCCCAGTGCCTGCCACTCACCCCCTGCTGTGGACACTATTAGCTCAGAATCGCTGGAACAAATTTGGTGACGTCATTTCATGGCTCACGGTGAATCATAAAACTGTTCATAACGACCATTATTCAGTAACAGCCTCGACAGTAGTTGTGCTGAAAGTATAGGGGAAACCAGAGAGAGACCGGAAAGACCAGAGAGAGACCAGAGAGAGACCAGAGAGAGACCAGAGAGAGACCAGAAAGACCAGAGAGAGACCAGAGAGAGAGACCAGAGAGAGAGACCAGAGAGAGAGCAGAGAGAGACCAGAAAGACCAGAGAGAGACCAGAGAGAGACCAGAAAGACCAGAGAGAGACCAGAAAGACCAGAGAGAGACCAGAGAGAGAGAGACCAGAGAGAGACCAGAAAGACCAGAGAGAGACCAGAAAGACCAGAGAGAGACCAGAGAGAGAGAGACCAGAGAGAGACCAGAGAGAGACCAGAAAGACCAGAGAGAGACCAGAGAGAGAGACCGGAAAGACCAGAGAGAGACCAGAAAGACCAGAGAGAGACCAGAGAGAGAGAGACCAGAGAGAGACCAGAGAGAGACCAGAAAGACCAGAGAGAGACCAGAAAGACCAGAGAGAGACCAGAAAGACCAGAGAGAGACCAGAGAGAGACTAGAGAGAGACCAGAGAGAGACTAGAGAGAGACCAGAAAGAGGCCAGAGAGAGACCAGAGAGAGACCAGAGAGAGACCAGAGAGAGACCAGAGAGAGACCAGAGAGAGACCAGAGTTTCACAGCATTCACAACTAGTTCCAAGTGATTTTTAAAAGTGGTTAGAAACTTAGGTACCCCAGCTTTAACATGGCTCAAAGCTTCAAAGAGTCGCTGGTGCATTTGTCCATTACACAAACACCTTCAGTCGGTGGTGATGGATCCGTGTTTATGGTTCTGTTTTGCTGCTTCCCGTGATGAGACGACAGCTCCTCCAGTCCTTAATTAAACCAGTCACAATGAGAGCCTAATTGAACACATTGAATTCCACTTTGACGCGTGTAAAGCCTGTTATTTACTTTCCAAAACGCAGCGTTTGGCCTCATTCTGTTCATTAAAGGAACCATCGTCTCCGTCACCTCCAACAGAAGCAGCTTTTCACTGTCAGAGGCTTTGAGTAAAACATAAGAGAGAAGCAGCGTTTGGAATAACTCTAGATCTGCTGTCCTGTCTTACCATGTGTAAACTCTGGTCTTACCATGTGTAACCTCTGGTCCATGATCCTCTCCTACATGTACGTCTGGTCTTACCATGTGTAAACTCTGGTCTTACCATGTGTAAACTCTGGTCTTACCATGTGTAACCTCTGGTCCATGATCCTCTCCTACATGTACGTCTGGTCTTACCATGTGTAAACTCTGGTCTTACCATGTGTAAACTCTGGTCTTACCATGTGTAAACTCTGGTCCATGGAGAATGTGATAGTAAAATAATCTGTTCTGGTTCAATCCAAATATCAAGAAACTGAAGCCGGAGCAAGAGGAATGTTTAGTAAATGTCATTGAAGCAAAGATGTTGTGGCTCTACTCCCCACGGGCTCCGTTAGTGACAAAGGAGATGCTAAAGCAAGGCTACATGCTAAAGCTAGGCTACATGCTAAAGCTAGGCTACATGTTAAAGCTAGGCTACATGCTAAAGCTAGGCTACATGTTAAAGCTAGGCTACATGCTAAAGCTAGGCTACATGCTAAAGCTAGGCTAAATGCCTCACTCACTCGGGCTCATTACATACGTCACAGTAAACTCAGATCCAATGGTTTTAATCTGTAAAAGGAGTTAGCCCCTCCCACCTGTTAACGGAGTCAATGGAGCAGATCCAGACCTTAGTATGAAATGAAATTAGTAAAATGCTATGGTAAGACCAGAGTAGCTACATTTATGAAAACAGAAAAAAGACAGAGATGAAAATGTGATGCCAGAACAAACTCAAAAGTTTTTGCTTTTAAACAGCAGCATAATTGGCATAGATTAGCAGCGCTGTGATTGGCCGAGGAGGAAAGGAGGCGGGCTCTTATGGGCTGCAGCAGTGAGACTACAAACTGAATCATGGCATTTCTCCTTAAACAGCCTCAGACCACATGTCCGAGTGAGTTCGTCCGCTCTGTGTTTTTTTTACCTCCGCTCAGTGAAAGCAGTTTACTCCCCTCCTCACCCGCCGTGCTCCTCACCCGCCGTGCTCCTCACCCGCCGTGCTCCTCACCCGCCCTGCTCCTCACCCGCCGTGCTCCTCCGCAGCCTCTGCCAATATCCACAATGCTCCGGGTCCATCATCCGGTCCACAGGAAGCCGGGTCTCTAACTCCGGCTAATGCATGGAGACACCTGGGACCACCTGGCAGCGTGAGGGGGAGAGGATACAGGCCTCAACAAGCTACTGTGGGCTTTATAAGGATCATGTATCTATCCCATCTATCTCTCTAGGATCAGCACGACCCGTGGACCTCTGGTAATCTGTGAGAATCACGGAGGATGTTAGTCAAGTGTGTATGCGCCATATTTGTAATTCGTAAAGTACTAATTCTGCCGCAAATGACCTGTATTTTTTTTGTCAATATCTTGCACCTTTTCATATGCAAGATATCGTAGTTTTTTTAGCAGCAAACTATGGACTGTACACATGGTAAGACCAGCGAGAGACCAGTGCCTCTTTACAGGAGAGAGCCGCGTCTGCAGGTCTCCTTTAAAGTTTAAATACATACAATGTTTGGAGCTGAAAATGCAAATAGGAAACGTGATCGAAAGCTGCCGTCCAGAGCCGCAGTGAAATCCCAGATACAGAGTAAACCCAGAGCAGGTGCTGGGTTTACATCCCACTGAACACCTGCAGGATAATTATATGGAGGTAATTAACATCAATTCTAAATGGCAGAAATGAATGTGGCTGTGACGCCCATCCAGCGGCTTCACTGGAGCGCTCTGCAGCAGAACACACTCATGAACAGTCAGACCAGAACCAACAGAACTGGGATAAAAAGTCTGGATGTGATTCTGGGATTGAGAATAGTGTTTTTCTGTGTGGACCAGAATTACTCAAATGTTGATTTTTGTTTGTATTTATATGTAGTTTATCTGTTGCATGTGAGGAGCTATACCTTTGAATGTAAAATTCTATTGATCTCTGAGCAACCAACTTTCTATGGAGGTTAAGGCTCAATGTTCTGGTTCTGGTTCTGGGCCGAGGTTTTGGCTCTAACCCTGTTTTCCTGGATTTCAAGACTATTTACCTGTTTTTTAAATCTTTCTTTGAATTGGGACAGTGCACATTAATCAGCATGTGTCTGGTCTCTCTCTCTGGTCTCTCTCTGGTCTCTCTCTGGTCTCTCTCTCTCTGGTCTCTCTCTGGTCTCTCTCTCTCTGGTCTCTCTCTGGTCTCTCTCTGGACTCTCTCTGGTCTCTCTCTCTGGTCTCTCTCTCTGGTCTCTCTCTGGTCTTTCTGGTCTGTCTCTGGTCTCTCTCTGGTCTCTCTCTCTGGTCTCTCTCTGGTCTTTCTGGTCTCTCTCTGGTCTCTCTCTGGTCTCTCTCTCTGGTCTCTCTCTGGTCTTTCTGGTCTCTCTCTGGTCTCTCTCTGGTCTTTCTGGTCTCTCTCTGGTCTCTCTCTGGTCTCTCTCTGGTCTTTCTGGTCTCTCTCTGGTCTCTCTCTGGTCTCTCTCTCTGGTCTCTCTCTGGTCTTTCTGGTCTCTCTCTGGTCTCTCTCTGGTCTCTCTCTCTGGTCTCTCTCTGGTCTTTCTGGTCTCTCTCTGGTCTCTCTCTGGTCTTTCTGGTCTCTCTCTGGTCTCTCTCTGGTCTCTCTCTGTCTCTCTCTACTCTCTGGTCTCTCTCTGGTCTCTCTCTAGTCTCTCTCTCTGGTCTCTCTCTGGTCTTTCTGGTCTCTCTCTGGTCTCTCTCTGGTCTCTCTCTCTGGTCTCTCTGGTCTTTCTGGTCTCTTTCTGGTCTCTCTCTGGTCTCTCTCTCTGGTCTCTCTGGTCTTTCTGGTCTCTTTCTGGTCTCTCTCTGGTCTCTCTCTCTGGTCTCTCTCTGGTCTCTCTCTGGTCTCTTCTGGTCTCTCTCTGGTCTCTCTCTGGTCTCTCTCTGGTCTTTCTGGTCTCTCTCTGGTCTCTCTCTGGTTTCTCTCTGGTTTCTCTCTGGTCTCTCTCTGGTCCTGGTCTCTCTCTGGTCTCTCTCTGGTCTCTCTCTCTGGTCTCTCTCTGGTCTCTCTCTCTGGTCTCTCTCTGGTCTCTCTCTGGTCTCTCTCTCTCTGGTCTCTCTCTGGTCTCTCTCTGGTCTCTCTCTGGACTCTCTCTGGTCTCTCTCTCTGGTCTCTCTCTCTGGTCTCTCTCTGGTCTTTCTGGTCTCTCTCTGGTCTCTCTCTGGTCTCTCTCTCTGGTCTCTCTCTGGTCTCTTCTGGTCTCTCTCTGGTCTCTCTCTGGGCTCTCTCTCTGGTCTCTCTCTGGTCTCTCTCTGGTCTCTCTCTGGTCTCTCTCTGGTCTCTCTCTCTGGTCTCTCTCTGGTCTTCTCTGGTCTCTCTCTGGTCTTTCTGGTCTCTCTCTGGTCTCTCTCTGGTCTCTCTCTGGTCTTTCTGGTCTCTCTCTGGTCTCTCTCTGGTCTCTCTCTCTGGTCTCTCTCTGGTCTTTCTGGTCTCTCTCTGGTCTCTCTCTCTGGTCTCTCTCTGGTCTTTCTGGTCTCTCTCTGGTCTCTCTCTGGTCTTTCTGGTCTCTCTCTGGTCTCTCTCTGGTCTCTCTCTGGTCTTTCTGGTCTCTCTCTGGTCTCTCTCTGGTTACTCTCTGGTCTCTCTCTGGTCTCTCTCTGGTCTCTCTCTCTGGTCTCTCTCTGGTCTTTCTGGTCTCTCTCTGGTCTCTCTCTGGTCTTTCTGGTCTCTCTCTGGTCTCTCTCTGGTCTCTCTCTCTGGTCTCTCTCTGGTCTTTCTGGTCTCTCTCTGGTCTCTCTCTCTGGTCTCTCTCTGGTCTCTCTCTGGTCTCTCTCTGGTCTTTCTGGTCTCTCTCTGGTCTCTCTCTGGTCTTTCTGGTCTCTCTCTGGTCTCTCTCTGGTTTCTCTCTGGTCTCTCTCTGGTCTCTCTCTGGTCTCTCTCTCTGGTCTCTCTCTGGTTTCTCTCTGGTCTCTCTCTGGTCTTTCTGGTCTCTCTCTGGTCTCTCTCTGGTTTCTCTCTGGTCTCTCTCTGGTTACTCTCTGGTCTCTCTCTGGTCTCTCTCTGGTCTCTCTCTCTGGTCTCTCTCTGGTCTTTCTGGTCTCTCTCTGGTCTCTCTGGTCTTTCTGGTCTCTCTCTGGTCTCTCTCTCTGGTCTCTCTCTGGTCTTTCTGGTCTCTCTCTGGTCTCTCTCTCTGGTCTCTCTCTGGTCTCTCTCTGGTCTCTCTCTGGTCTTTCTGGTCTCTCTCTGGTCTCTCTCTGGTCTCTCTCTGGTCTTTCTGGTCTCTCTCTGGTCTCTCTCTGGTTTCTCTCTGGTCTCTCTCTGGTCTCTCTCTGGTCTCTCTCTCTGGTCTCTCTCTGGTCTCTCTCTCTGGTCTCTCTCTGGTCTCTCTCTCTGGTCTCTCTCTCTGGTCTCTCTCTGGTCTCTCTCTCTCTCTGGTCTCTCTCTGGTCTCTCTCTAGTCTCTCTGGTCTCTCTCTGGTCTCTCTCTCTGGTGTCTCTTTCTGGTGTCTCTCTCTAGTCTCTCTGGTCCCTCTCTCTGGTCTCTCTCTGGTCTCTCTCTGGTCTCTCACTGGTCTCTCTCTGGTCTCTCTCTGGTCTCTCTCTCTGGTCTCTCTCTGGTCTCTCTCTCTGGTCTCTCTCTGGTCTCTCTCTCTGGTCTCTCTCTGGACTCTCTCTGGTCTCTCTCTCTGGTCTCTCTCTGGTCTCTCTCTCTCTCTCTGCTCTCTCTCTGGTCTCTCTCTGGTCTCTCTCTCTGGTCTCTCTCTCTGGTCTCTCTCTCTCTGGTCTCTCTCTGGTCTCTCTCTCTCTGGTCTCTCTCTGGTCTCTCTCTCTGGCTCTCTCTCTCTGGTCTCTCTCTCTGGTCTCTCTCTGGTCTCTCTCTCTCTGGTCTCTCTCTGGTCTCTCTCTGGTCTCTCTCTCTCTGCTCTCTCTCTGTCTCTCTCTGGTCTCTCTCTGGTCTCTCTCTCTGGTCTCTCTCTCTGGTCTCTCTCTCTGGTCTCTCTCTGGTCTCTCTCTCTCTGGTCTCTCTCTCTGGTCTCTCTCTGGTCTCTCTCTGGTCTCTCTCTCTCTCTGGTCTCTCTCTGGTCTCTCTCTGGTCTCTCTCTCTGGTCTCTCTCTCTGGTCTCTCTCTGCTCTCTCTCTCTCTCTGGTCTCTCTCTGGTCTCTCTCTCTGGTCTCTCTCTCTGGTCTCTCTCTCTGGTCCCTCTCTCTGGTCTCTCTCTCTGGTCTCTCTCTGGTCTCTCTCTCTCTGGTCTCTCTCTCTGGTCTCTCTCTGGACTCTCTCTGGTCTCTCTCTCTGGTCTCTCTCTCTGGTCTCTCTCTCTGGTCTCTCTCTGCTCTCTCTCTCTCTGGTCTCTCTCTTTGGTCTCTCTCTGGTCTCTCTCTCTGGTCTCTCTCTGGTCTCTCTCTCTCTGGTCTCTCTCTGCTCTCTCTCTCTCTGGTCTCTCTCTGGACTCTCTCTGGTCTCTCTCTCTGGTCTCTCTCTCTGGTCTCTCTCTCTGGTCTCTCTCTCTGGTCTCTCTCTGCTCTCTCTCTCTCTGGTCTCTCTCTGGACTCTCTCTGGTCTCTCTCTCTGGTCTCTCTCTCTGGTCCCTCTCTCTGGTCTCTCTCTCTGGTCTCTCTCTGGTCTCTCTCTCTCTGGTCTCTCTCTCTGGTCTCTCGCTGGTCTCGCTCTGGTCTCTCTCTGGTCTCTCTCTGGTCTCTCTCTCTCTGGTCTCTCTCTGCTCTCTCTCTCTCCGTCCTCGACCAGACCCTTGTGTTCCGTGTTATTAACTCAGACTTCCTCAAAGCTTCCACAGCATTTCACTTTTCCGCGCTCATGTTGATGCACTTTGGCGTTTCTGAAGCTGCTTAAGTGGCTCTTGCTCTCACATGGATGCGCTCTCTCCCATCCTGGCAGTCTCTCTGCAGCTGTGGCAGTCTCTCCGCAGCTGTGGCAGTCTCTCTGCAGCTGTGGCGGGCAGAGCAGGTGAACACTTCAGGCAGGATTGAGACCTTTGGAGTGCGGTGCTAAGTGGCTCTGGCAGCGGCGGATGTGGACACGGCTGTGGACACGGCTGTGGACACGGCTGCCAACGCCATTATTCTGAGAGAGGAGAAACTCACACAATTGTTTTGTTGGGGTCTCTACAGGAGCTACAGCAACTAAATACAGGAGCTACAGGAGCTATAGGAACTATATACAGGAGCTACAGGAGCTATAGGAACTATATACAGGAGCTACAGGAGCTATAGGAACTATATAGAGGAGCTATAGGAACTATATACAGGAGCTACAGGAGCTTTAGGAGCTATATACAGGAGCTACAGGAGCAGCTCAAACTGAAGAGAATCACCTTTGAAACGAGTCACAGACGTGTGCAGTGTCTGATAATAACGTGTTCTGTGTTTATTAAGAAACCTTAAAGAACCTCCTGGACGTAGGATCAAAGTATCTCTTAATCAAATCCATTTGCAATTATTTGGGCAAATAATCTATAACTTATTTACACATGATTATTCACATGAGAAAATAAATACTGCACAGTTTGAAGTAAAATCCAGACTTGTTTTGGACGTTTCTCTGGAGAAAAAGCAGAAGAAAGAGTGTGATGTGGAATCCTGATGTAGCAGTCCTTAAACCTGTTGAAGAATAATAATAATGTGTTTTATTTATGGCACCTCACACCCAGTATTAAAATACTGACTGTAGTTTGCCGTCGCAGCAGCGTCTGTGGTCGCGGCCCTATTTAGATTCAGCTCTGATTAAGAAGCAGCCATTTCAGCGAAGTCATGTGGGTCGTGTTTTATCTTGTACTTCTGTCTGTCTCTTGTTATCGCCGTGATTCACGCCGAGTAAAGAGGACAGAACGCCACGGAGTAAACAACCCGCCGCAACCGCACTCACGACACCTCCAACCGCACTCACAACACGTCCAACCGCACTCACAACACCTCCAACCGCACTCACAACACGTCCAACCGCACTCACAACACCTCCAACCGCACTCACAACACGTCCAACCGCACTCACAACACCTCCAACCGCACTCACAACACGTACAACCGCACTCACAACACCTCCAACCGCACTCACAACACGTCCAACCGCACTCACAACACCTCCAACCGCACTCACAACACGTTCAACCGCACTCACAACACGTCCAACCGCACTCACAACACGTTCAACCGCACTCACAACACCTCCAACCGCACTCACAACACGTTCAACCGCACTCACGACACGTCCAACCGCACTCACAACACCTCCAACCGCACTCACAACACCTCCAACCGCACTCACAACACGTCCAACCGCACTCACGACACGACCAACCGCACTCACAACACGTCCAACCGCACTCGCAACACGTCCAACCGCACTCACAACACGTCCAACCGCACTCGCAACACGTCCAACCGCACTCACAACACGTCCAACCGCATTCACAACACCTCCAACCGCACTCGCAACACGTCCAACCGCACTCACAACACGTCCAACCGCACTCGCAACACGTCCAACCACACTCACAACACGTCCAACCGCACTCACAACACGTCCAACTGCACTCACGACACGTCCAACCGCACTCACGACACGTCCAACCGCACTCACAACACGTCCAACCGCACTCACAACACCTCCAACCGCACTCACAACACGTCCAACAGCACTCACAACACATCCAACCGCACTCAGAACACGTCCAACCGCACTCACAATTCGTCCAACCGCACTCATGACACGTCCAACCGCACTCACAATTCGTCCAACCGCACTCACAACACGACCAACCGCACTCACAACACGTCCAACCGCACTCACAACACCTCCAACCGCACTCACAACACGTCCAACCGCACTCACAACACGTCCAACCGCACTCACAACACGACCAACCGCACTCACAACACCTCCAACCGCACTCACAACACCTCCAACCGCACTCACAACACGTCCAACCGCACTCACAATTCGTCCAACCGCACTCACAACACCTCCAACCGCATTCACAACACGTCCAACCGCACTCACAACACGTCCAACCGCACTCACAACACCTCCAACCGCACTCACAACACCTCCAACCGCACTCACAACACGTCCAACCGCACTCACAACACGTCCAACCGCACTCACAACACGTCCAACCGCACTCACAACACGTCCAACCGCACTCACAACACGACCAACCGCACTCACAACACGTCCAACCGCACTCACAACACGTCCAACCGCACTCACAACACCTCCAACCGCACTCACAACACGTCCAACCGCACTCACAACACGACCAACCGCACTCACAACACCCCCAACCGCACTCACAACACCTCCAACCGCACTCACAACACGTCCAACCGCACTCACAACACCTCCAACCGCACTCACAACACGTCCAACCGCACTCACAACACGTCCATCCGCACTCACAACACGACCAACCGCACTCACAAGACCTCCAACCGCACTCACAACACGTCCAACCGCACTCACAATTCGTCCAACCGCACTCACAACACCTCCAACCGCACTCACAACACCTCCAACCGCACTCACAACACGTCCAACCGCACTCACAACACGTCCAACCGCACTCACAACACGTCCAACCGCACTCACAATTCGTCCAACCGCACTCACAACACCTCCAATCGCATTCACAACACATCCAACCGCACTCACAACACCTCCAACCGCACTCACAACACGTCCAACCGCACTCACAACACGTCCAACCGCACTCACAACACGTCCAACCGCACTCACAACACGTCCAACCGCACTCACAACACGTCCAACCGCACTCACAACACGTCCAACCGCACTCACAATTCGTCCAACCGCACTCACAACACCTCCAACCACACTCACAACACGTCCAACCGCACTCACAACACGTCCAACCGCACTCACAACACGTCCAACCGCACTCACAACACGTCCAACCGCACTCACAACACGTCCAACCGCACTCACAAGACCTCCAACCGCACTCACAACACCTCCAACCGCATTCACAACACGTCCAACCGCACTCACAACACGTCCAACCGCACTCACAACACGTCCAACCGCACTCACAATTCGTCCAACCGCACTCACAACACGTTCAACCGCACTCACAACACCTCCAACCGCACTCACAACACGTCCAACCGCACTCACAACACGTCCAACCGCACTCACAACACGACCAACCGCACTCACAAGACCTCCAACCGCACTCACAACACCTCCAACCGCACTCACAATTCGTCCAACCGCACTCACAACACGTCCAACCGCACTCACAAGTCGTCCAACCGCACTCACAACACGTCCAACCGCACTCACTATACGTCCAACCGCATTCACAACACGTCCAACCGCACTCACAAGACCTCCAACCGCACTCACAACACGTCCAACCGCAATCACAATTCGTCCAACCGCACTCACAACACGTCCAACCGCACTCACAACACGTCCAACCGCACTCACAACACGTCCAACCGCACTCACTATACGTCCAACCGCACTCACAACACGTCCAACCGCACTCACAACACGTCCAACCGCACTCACTATACGTCCAACCGCACTCACAACACCTCCAACCGCACTCACAACACATCCAACCGCACTCACAACACGTCCAACCGCACTCACAAAACGTCCAACCGCACTCACAACACGTCCAACCGCACTCACAACACCTCCAACCGCACTCACAACACCTCCAACCGCACTCACAACACGTCCAACCGCACTCACAACACGTCCGACCGCACTCACAACAACACGTCCAACCGCACTCACAACACAAACACGTCCAACCGCACTCACAACACGACCAACCGCACTCACAACACGTCCAACCGCACTCACAACACCTACTCAACACTCAACCGCACTCACAACACGTCCAACCGCACTCACAACACGTCCAACCGCACTCACAACACCACCAACCGCACTCACAACACCCCCAACCGCACTCACAACACCTCCAACCGCACTCACAACACGTCCAACCGCACTCACAACACCTCCAACCGCACTCACAACACCTCCAACCGCACTCACAACACGTCCAACCGCACTCACAACACGTCCAACCGCACTCACAACACGTCCAACCGCACTCACAACACGTCCAACCGCACTCACAATTCGTCCAACCGCACTCACAACACCTCCAACCACACTCACAACACGTCCAACCGCACTCACAACACGTCCAACCGCACTCACAACACGTCCAACCGCACTCACAACACGTCCAACCGCACTCACAACACGTCCAACCGGCACTCACAAGACCTCCAACCGCACTCACAACACCTCCAACCGCATTCACAACACGTCCAACCGCACTCACAACACGTCCAACCGCACTCACAACACGTCCAACCGCACTCACAATTCGTCCAACCGCACTCACAACACGTTCAACCGCACTCACAACACCTCCAACCGCACTCACAACACGTCCAACCGCACTCACAACACGTCCAACCGCACTCACAACACGACCAACCGCACTCACAAGACCTCCAACCGCACTCACAACACCTCCAACCGCACTCACAATTCGTCCAACCGCACTCACAACACGTCCAACCGCACTCACAATTCGTCCAACCGCACTCACAACACGTCCAACCGCACTCACAACACGTCCAACCGCACTCACAACACGTCCAACCGCACTCACTATACGTCCAACCGCATTCACAACACGTCCAACCGCACTCACAAGACCTCCAACCGCACTCACAACACGTCCAACCGCACTCACAATTCGTCCAACCGCACTCACAACACGTCCAACCGCACTCACAACACGTCCAACCGCACTCACAACACGTCCAACCGCACTCACAACACGTCCAACCGCAATTCACAACACGACCAACCGCACTCACAAGACCTCCAACCGCACTCACAACACCTCCAACCGCACTCACAATTCGTCCAACCGCACTCACAACACGTCCAACCGCACTCACAATTCGTCCAACCGCACTCACAACACGTCCAACCGCACTCACAACACGTCCAACCGCACTCACTATACGTCCAACCGCACTCACAACACGTCCAACCGCACTCACTATACGTCCAACCGCACTCACAACACGTCCAACCGCACTCACTATACGTCCAACCGCACTCACAACACGTCCAACCGCACTCACTATACGTCCAACCGCACTCACAACACCTCCAACCGCACTCACAACACATCCAACCGCACTCACAACACGTCCAACCGCACTCACAACACGTCCAACCGCACTCACAACACGTCCAACCGCACTCACAACACCTCCAACCGCACTCACAACACCTCCAACCGCACTCACAACACGTCCAACCGCACTCACAACACGTCCAACCGCACTCACAACACGTCCAACCGCACTCACAACACGTCCAACCGCACTCACAACACGACCAACCGCACTCACACACACGTCCAACCGCACTCACAACACCTCCAACCGCACTCACAACACGTCCAACCGCACTCACAACACGTCCAACCGCACTCACAACACGACCAACCGCACTCACAACACCCCCAACCGCACTCACAACACCTCCAACCGCACTCACAACACGTCCAACCGCACTCACAACACCTCCAACCGCACTCACAACACGTCCAACCGCACTCACAACACGTCCAACCGCACTCACAACACGACCAACCGCACTCACAAGACCTCCAACCGCACTCACAACACGTCCAACCGCACTCACAATTCGTCCAACCGCACTCACAACACCTCCAACCGCACTCACAACACCTCCAACCGCACTCACAACACGTCCAACCGCACTCACAACACGTCCAACCGCACTCACAACACGTCCAACCGCACTCACAACACATCCAACCGCACTCACAACACCTCCAACCGCATTCACAACACGTCCAACCGCACTCACAACACGTCCAACCGCACTCACAACACGTCCAACCGCACTCACAACACGTCCAACCGCACTCACAACACGTCCAACCGCACTCACAACACGTCCAACCGCACTCACAACACGTCCAACCGCACTCACAACACGTCCAACCGCACTCACAATTCGTCCAACCGCACTCACAACACCTCCAACCGCACTCACAACACCTCCAACCACACTCACAACACGTCCAACCGCACTCACAACACGTCCAACCGCACTCACAACACGTCCAACCGCACTCACAACACGTCCAACCGCACTCACAACACCTCCAACCGCATTCACAACACGTCCAACCGCACTCACAACACGTCCAACCGCACTCACAACACGTCCAACCGCACTCACAATTTGTCCAACCGCACTCACAACACGTTCAACCGCACTCACAACACCTCCAACCGCACTCACAACACGTCCAACCGCACTCACAACACGTCCAACCGCACTCACAACACGACCAACCGCACTCACAAGACCTCCAACCGCACTCACAACACCTCCAACCGCACTCACAATTCGTCCAACCGCACTCACAACACGTCCAACCGCACTCACAATTCGTCCAACCGCACTCACAACACGTCCAACCGCACTCACAACACGTCCAACCGCACTCACAACACGTCCAACCGCACTCACTATACGTCCAACCGCATTCACAACACGTCCAACCGCACTCACAAGACCTCCAACCGCACTCACAACACGTCCAACCGCACTCACAATTCGTCCAACCGCACTCACAACACGTCCAACCGCACTCACAACACGTCCAACCGCACTCACAACACGTCCAACCGCACTCACTATACGTCCAACCGCACTCACAACACGTCCAACCGCACTCACAACACGTCCAACCGCACTCACTATACGTCCAACCGCACTCACAACACCTCCAACCGCACTCACAACACATCCAACCGCACTCACAACACGTCCAACCGCACTCACAACACGTCCAACCGCACTCACAACACGTCCAACCGCACTCACAACACGTCCAACCGCACTCACAACACGTCCAACCGCACTCACAACACGTCCAACCGCACTCACAACACGTCCAACCGCACTCACAACACGACCAACCGCACTCACAAGACCTCCAACCGCACTCACACCTCCAACCGCACTCACAATTCGTCCAACCGCACTCACAACACGTCCAACCGCACTCACAATTCGTCCAACCGCACTCACAACACGTCCAACCGCACTCACTATACGTCCAACCGCACTCACAACACGTCCAACCGCACTCACTATACGTCCAACCGCACTCACAACACGTCCAACCGCACTCACTATACGTCCAACCGCACTCACAACACGTCCAACCGCACTCACAACACGTCCAACCGCACTCACTATACGTCCAACCGCATTCACAACACGTCCAACCGCACTCACAACACCTCCAACCGCACTCACTATACGTCCAACCACACTCACAACACCTCCAACCGCACTCACAACACGTCCAACCGCATTCACAACACGTCCAACCGCACTCACTATACGTCCAACCGCATTCACAACACGTCCAACCGCACTCACAACACGTCCAACCGCACTCACTATACGTCCAACCGCACTCACAACACCTCCAACCGCACTCACAACACATCCAACCGCACTCACAACACGTCCAACCGCACTCACAACACCTCCAACCGCACTCACAACACATCCAACCGCACTCACAACACGTCCAACCGCACTCACAACACGTCCAACCGCACTCACAACACGTCCAACCGCACTCACAACACGTCCAACCGCATTCACAACACGTCCAACCGCACTCACAACACGTCCAACCGCACTCACAACACGTCCAACCGCACTCACAACACGTCCAACCGCACTCACAACACGTCCAACCGCACTCACAATTCGTCCAACCGCACTCACAACACGTTCAACCGCACTCACAACACCTCCAACCGCACTCACAACACGTCCAACCGCACTCACAACACGTCCAACCGCACTCACAACACCTCCAACCGCACTCACAACACCTCCAACCGCACTCACAATTCGTCCAACCGCACTCACAACACGTCCAACCGCACTCACAACACGTCCAACCGCACTCACAATTCGTCCAACCGCACTCACAACACGTTCAACCGCACTCACAACACTTCCAACCGCACTCACAACACGTCCAACCGCACTCACAACACGTCCAACCCGCACTCACAACACCTCCAACCGCACTCACAACACGTCCAACCGCACTCACAACACGTCCAACCGCACTCACAATTCGTCCAACCGCACTCACAACACGTCCAACCGTACTCACAACACGTCCAACCGCACTCACAACACCTCCAACCGCATTCACAACACGTCCAACCGCACTCACAACACCTCCAACCGCACTCACGACACGTCCAACCGCACTCACAACACGTCCAACCGCACTCACAACACGTCCAACCGCACTCACAACACCTCCAACCGCACTCACAACACCTCCAACCGCACTCACGACACGTCCAACCGCACTCACAACACGTCCAACCGCACTCACAACACGTCCAACCGCACTCACAACTCGTCCAACCGCACTCACAACACGTCCAACCGCACTCACAACACGTCCAACCGCACTCACAACACGTCCAACCGCACTCACAACACGTCCAACCGCACTCACAACACCTCCAACCGCACTCACAACACGTCCAACCGCACTCACGACACGAAGTTAGATTAATGTGGTACAATGACATCATACTATTAGAGGACTGAGACTGCGGACTTCAAGTGGATATTAGCATGGACACATCTAAACACAACTCCAGGTCTGTGTCTGATGATGGAGCAATGTTGTGATGATTCAGCAGGATATGTTCAAACCATCTCAGAACACCTTTTTGTTGAGTATATAATATATTTTTCATTTCTGGGTCTTGGTCTCTGTGATCCTGGACCAGAGCTGGGTCTAGTCCCGTGTCTCTCTCTCTCCTCTGACTTCCATATTTTACTATTCAACTGTTAAATTCATGCAGAGGACATTCTATTTTTTATTGTTCACTGGATGCTCATTGAAATTCAGATTAGTTTTGCAAATAACAGATTCTATGCAAATGAGGCTCGCTGCTTACACCTTTGGAAGTGACAGAAGCAGGAAACAAAAGCAGCTGTATTTATCCGTGTACAAAGGGCATTTGTGTTTTCACCCAAAGATTTCTGATGTGTGGAAAAGAGATGTGTTTTAATAATACAGCAATTTAAACTCAGAGCCAAAGATCAAGAAAAAACAGAAATATTCAGAGAGTCCCGGGGGTCACAGACTGTGTCAGGCCAGGACTCCCCAAAACCATGTTCATATTAACTTATGTTGAATAAAATACATAATTGTAAGAATTTAAAGCTGCAAATATTGTGTATTTTTATTAGGGCGGCTTTAATTATGAATATTTTCTTGCAGAATTTTTTTAAACTTTTCTGTTTCTAGTTCTAGTTCTTCTTTACATGTGACGCACGACCTAGATCCGTTGGCTCACGATAACAGTGATGGACCATGAACAAAACACTTCAAGTGTCCCGCTGGGGGATATTTTTTACTTTAATAAACGTCCAGACGGAAAGGAAGAGAATAATAATAGATAATTATTGAGTTATGGGAAAACTGTGCAAAAAGGAATTTGCATTTCACTGAAGTAATTCATGAACAGAAGTAATTCATGAACAGAAGTAATTCATGAACAGAAGTAATTCATGAACAGAAGTAATTCATGAACAGAAGTCATTCATGAACAGAAGTAATTCATGAACAGAAGTCATTCATGAACAGAAGTAATTCATGAAGCCTCAATCCCCATCCGAGCACAAAGCATATCACGACACGCACAGGCTAATGTTTTTAAATGTTTTGTCAAAGTATGATCCATGATTAAATTGCAATTAATTCATTACAGATCCTGTAATATATTAGATTTACATTTAGTCTTTTTTTTTTGTCCTACCACTAATGTCAACATTATGTTTAGCTGATGCACCCTGCTCTGACCTGCGGCGTCCCCCAGGGGTCGATCCTGGGACCACTACAGTTCCATCTCTACATGCTGCCGTTAGCTCAGTTACTCAGCTGTAACCACTATCCACAGATGGTACAAACAGTAAATGGGCAGTGAACAGCTCTATGAAGACCAAAAGGGAAGTGCTCATGGACAAAGGTTTGTTCCACTTCTCTCTGGCTCCTCTTGACATACATTTGTAATTAAATGATTCATGCGTTTGCACTTGTAGTGATCGTGGTGTTTATGTTGTAATATTGTCTTTTGTAGATATGAGCCCTAGCAACTGACCAATCAAGATCCGTCTGTCGCTAATTTTGGTGTTAGCTAGCCAGTGGGACCGTCCTGTTTGGAGCTTCGTAACGGTCGTTGGTACTTACATTTGCAAACATTTGGCTCCGCTAAAAACCTGTTAGAGTTAGCACTAATTAGCTTTCTCTGCACAAAGTAAACTATGAAGGTAAGTGCACTTCCAAGACTAAAAGCCGTCAAATTGACTGCTTTGGGAGTTTTAGTGTTGATGCTAGTGTCAAGCAGGCGACCAGTGGACTCAAGAATGATTTAAGTATTTATTTACCTTTCCTTTTACAGCGCAGACCGTTTCCGTCTGCAGATACATGCAGATACAGGAAAAATACAATAACAAGCCCAGTCTAATGTGCTATACAGATAAACTGGCCTGGGTTAAATGTCCGTGCGTCCGTTTTCTTCCGCTTCATCCGTTGCCGGGTCGCGGGGGCAGCAGTCTAAGCAGAGACGCCCAGACTTCCCTATCCAGGTTAAATGTGTCGCAAAGAATTATTGAAAAACAGTGTAAATTGTTGATATAATCTCTCTCTCTCCCTCTCTGTCACTCACTCTCTCTCCCTGGTCTCTCTCTCTCTGTCTCTCTCTTTGGTCTCGCTCTACCTCTTTCTGGTCTCTCCCTCTCTGTCTGTCTCTCTCCCTGGTCTCTCGCTCTCTCTCCCTCTCTCTCTCTGTCTGTCTCTCCATCTCTCTCTTTCTGGTCTCTCTCTTGTTGAAATAATGGTTGGAAGAATCCGTGGTCTCTCCCTCGGCTTGTGTAAAACTGGAGACAGATGTATGTCTAATTATCTCTAATCTCTACTTTTGATTTTGTGAATGTGTTTAGTTTTAAAGCTGATGTTTCTGATGTGATTTGTCATTTGTAATGTAAGTCTGAGTCCATCTCCTCTCGGTCTCTAACTGGATTTGTGGGTCTCAGGTGAAGCTAACCCAATCGTTTCAGTGTGAGAGCTGCTGATGCTGTGGAGAGAGAACAACCACATCTGTATTTATATTTATAATTATATTTATTTTCATATTTCCATGTGACTGCTGCTGGTCCAGGCCTCTCCGCAGACACGACCTGTTTTCACAAGAGTTTTCTGGTAAGCTGAAAACAGCAGGTTGTGTTTTACTTCTACAAGACTCTTGACCTACGTTAAAGAAGAAACAAAAAAGTTAGGTACCCGAGCTTTAGTCTATAAAAAAGTGATTTATGAAGTCGCTCTGAGACGTTTTCCTGTCTCATTACTGTGTCCACATTACTGTTTTAAAATGGCTCCATTGATCGTGCGTCATGGTTTAGATTCATTTCCTGTTTTATTTTGTAGTTTGTTATATCCCTGTGTCTGCTTTGGTTGCTCTTCCTGTGTGATTACCTGCCCTGCCCTCCAGCCTTGCCCTCATGTGTCTCACCTGTGTCTCGTTAGTCTTGTATTTAGCCCTGTGTGTTCCTTCACTCCCTGTTCCATCATTGTCATTTCTCGTCTGTTTTAGTTCGGTCCTCGTTCCCTGTGTTTTTGGAAGTTTTGGTGTTTGCTTTTTATTAAATCCATTATTTGTTGCAGTTTAGCATTTTTGCGTCTCATTTAATTTCACCCACGTGACATCGTGTCCCACTCCCACCATCGGACCCATTTCATAACATGGCCCCTCCCCCTCACATCTCGGACCCCTCAGAACTGTGCCATACGAATAAACTGGCCATGCCACATTCAGAGAGGGATTTGCTCCAACAGGCAGTAGAACGAGGACTCAGACTGTAGAAGGAGGACTCAGACTGTAGAAGGAGGACTCAGACTGTAGAAGGAGGACTCAGACTGTAGAACGAGGACTCAGACTGTAGAACGAGGACTCAGACTGTAGAAGGAGGACTCAGTAATTAGAGCATGAACCACTTTCCCTTCGACAGTTTTCTTTGTTGAGAATTTGAAAAATCCAATTTTTTATCAGTTTGAATTTAACACATAAAACAATGAAACAATGATTTTGTCTTTTGAGCATGAAAACAACTCTCAGTCAATTTCTTTTGACTTAAAACGAGTTTCAGAGTCGTCCAAAAACATTCATCTGAAGAGACCTCTTTTTATTTCATCAAAATGAATAAAAACCAATGTTCCTCTCAAACTGCTGCTGCCGCTCGGTCGAGGGTCAATGAGCCCGACCGACTGTTACTTAAAGCTGGGACCAACAATTTTTCTTGGAAATTGTGTTTTACAGAGATAGATGCGCCGCTGTTGTAAAAGTAAATAATGTTTTTTTATGTAGCGCATTTTTACAGACACAAAGCCTTACAAAGTTCAGATGTAGTTCCATTCTCTCCACACGGTGATGAAGCGAGACCAGAACACACTGGTCCATCAAAGCCTCCGACCAAACACCATCCACTCACTCACTACATTCAGACATGTTGTACTTGTTTAAAGTGGTAGGGGAACGGAGCACCCGGAGGAAACCTACACAGAAATTTGGCAAAATGTCTCTTACTTTGAGCAGATTCTGACTGAGCCTTGAACGAGACAAAGCAACATTATCTTTATCTATGTACAGTAAATAACTTTGCACTAGTTTTAGGGTTAAGGTTAACACTCATACTACTGTCCTGTCTGAGCGCTGCAACACTGAAATTTCCCCACGAATAAAGGATCTCCATCGTTGTAAAAAAGTTTCAGAAATGTCTCCCTTTGAATCAGAAACTCAAGCAACAGTTCTTGAAATCAGACTAAATGTCTTTGTCCCATTGGAGAATCTAGTTTTGACATAATCACAATGTGTCAGATTAAGATAAAATAAAAATACTAGATTCAAGAATTTATTACCTCATATTTTATCATTTTTCACAGTATTTGGACAAACATGTATTTTCTAAACACTTTTCTCCCAATTACCCCCTTTAACCCAGCCGTCTATGCGTGTACTGTCCCTTTAAGGCCTTGTCAAACTAGAAAAGTGTGTTATAAAAGCTGAGAATCACTAGTTTTCGTTCCTGTTTCTGCTCGTGCTCTGTGTCTGTTCAAACCTGTGAATATTCTCCGGCTCATGTTGAAGACACTGAATTCTCTGATAAACTGCACATTCTCTGCAGTGACCCAGATTTATGTCCCGTCTCTGTCTGACCCTGCTCCTCCGGGAGAGCTGAGGCTAAGCTAACACCGAAGCTAACTCCGAAGCTAACTCCGAAGCTAACACCGAAGCTAACTCCGAAGCTAACACCGAAGCTAACACCGAAGCTAACACCGAAGCTAACACCGAAGCTAACACCGAAGCTTACACCGAAGCTAAGACCGAAGCTAAGACCGAAGCTAAGACCGAAGCTAAGACCGAAGCTAAGACCGAAGCTAAGACCGAAGCTAAGACCGAAGCTAAGACCGAAGCTAAGACCGAAGCTAAGACCGAAGCTAAGACCGAAGCTTACACCGAAGCTAACACCGAAGCTAACACCGA